GGGAGATTAGTAGAACCAACTATAGCCCTATCACTGCAGTTCTTCCTGTGGTTGCAATTGGTATTTCTTGTCTTCCTTTTCCACTCTCCATTCTAAATTCCTCCCTCCCTCAGCTATCAGCCGGGCTGGTCTTGGAGGCTTATCTAATGAAGTGCCTCAAGATCTCTTTACCGAAGTCTTAGCCTGGTAACACTATGCTCCTCACTCATAATTAGAGAAGGGTGTGCCAAGAGGTGCCAGAGTGGATCACAACCCTGCCCCGTAGGACCATACTGACCTCATCTTCTAGGTCTTCTCCCTTCCCTCAATTCTTTCTGCCTAGTGGCCTCTGTGATTTTCTTCTAGTATCCTAGGCATCCTTCCACCTTCTCTGAAATGTTGGTTCTCTCTGCCTGGACACTCTCACTTGATACTCACTTAATTCCCTCCCTATACCTTCAAGTATTTATTCAAATATCACTTTCCAATCAGACTTGTACATGACAACCCATTGACAATAGCAACTCATGATCCCACTTATACTAAGCAGTTTTTTTCATAGCACTTAACTCCCTCAACACAATAAAGAATTTTTTGTGTTTCCTACCTTATTCATTGATGTAAACCAAACTCCTAAATCAATGGCACCAGGATCAGGCACATCATAGGCCTTCAGTAAAAATGTGTTGAAAAAAATTCTATGTTTTTAATTTAGTGTAAAATAAATGTAATGTACAATAGAATAACAGATTATAATGCATATCTATTGATGCAAGTAGTACATTCATGTGTAACATTAATTTTATTATATTTAATTCCATCTTCTTAAGTAGGAGTGTCTTTGAATATATTAGATTGAACCAAATTAAATGGCCCACTCTTTTAGATTAAAAAATGGTTTGATTTTTGGCAGTTACATGTTTCAACTTAATACTAACATTTTCCCCATGTCACAAATGAAGAGTATGATGGCAAAAAGTCCTGAAAATTTATTAAATTGAAAAATCACACATACGGTGTTTAAACTCCAAATGTACAAAGAACTCATGGATTTAAGGATGACTGTCAAACCTATAATATTTATTTCAAAGGAAAGTCTCTATTAAAAATATAATACAGGAAATGAGAGGAATAAAGGAAATTATTTGGGGTAATAGTTTATAACATCCTGAGGGATATTGTTTCCTTTACACCTCTCTAATTTTCCACATTCATTTCATAAAGAAGTGAAGAATTTGGAGAGGGTTCAAACAGCCACTAATGTAAGAACTAATATAATTGAAAATTTGGAAAATAGATTTGTTCTAAGGCTAACTTTCATATTAAGAGGAAAACCATTTCACATAACTAGGAAAAGCCGAAGATAAAAAGTGTATAACTAATTTTAAGCAGTTTTTATAAATAATACTTTAAAATAGATATAAAGTAGTATATCTAACTGTTTACTCTTTCTTGCCAGCAGAAAACACACCACTGTAATAAGGAGATCTGGTATACACTGGAAGTCCAATCTTTCTGACATATAAATCTGTATTTAAGAGGGACAGTTCTGCTCCATTAGATCACTCCAACTCCCTGTTTCCTGTCACTGTGCCATCCCCAGCAGCCAGCCCACTCCAGCGTGAGAACTAAACTCTGCCTGCCACCTTCTTTTGTAAACAAAATTCTATTGGAACTCCAATAAACTCGCCCATTTATGTATTATTTATGGCTGTTTTCACCCCACAGTGGTAGAGTTGACCAGTTCTCACAGAGATATAGTTGGCGAGACCTAAAATATTTACTATCTGGTCCTTGACCAAAAAAGTTCATCCAACCCCTGGCATAGAGTGATGTCCTTGTCTACATGTCAGTGCTAGCTCTCCACCCAAGTCCCCACATTCCAGGCAAAAGACCAAGTGGAAGGCAAACATTTTCATTTTCAGAAGGCCAACTTGAACTTGCACATTTCACGTCTCATTTGTCCCACTGGTGTGAATGTGGTGGCGGAGAAATGTGCCTTCTGAACAGTGTGCGGGTGGGTCTGTCACTAAAAGGATCAAGGGTGAGTGCATACGGAGAACAAGGAGTGGTCTCTGCCACAGCTATCTGTGCAGAAAGAAGGTGGTGTGGGTGGAAATGAGGGTGGGCAGGAGAAGCCTCCTCAAGTAGCTGCCTTCTTTTTGGAATGAATGAATTTTGACAATGAGGAGCATTTCACAAAGTGGAAGCCTGCTCTGTCCAGGAACTTTGCCTCATCTGATTTCTAGTTACATGTAATTCACCCAGAGCTTCATTACACTAATATTTTAAAGAGCAGATCACTTGTCATCAGGGAAATGCAAGTTAAAAGTACAATGCACATCTTCAGGATGGCTTGAAAAAGCCAACTTTTGACAAGGATGGAAGCTAGCGTTCTCACCAAAAATATGTACAATGTCCATATCAATGTAATGTGTAATCTCTAAAAACTGGAAACTACCCAAATGCCCATCAACAGTGGAAGGTATATTCAGTGGAAGTACTATTCAGCAATGATAATAATATGCATAAATTTCATAAAAAGTTGAGTGAAAGACAAAAGAGTACACAGAGTATGGTTATATTTATATAATGGGCAACATTGGCTAAATTAATCTTAGAAGTCAGGAATAATACCTCAGAGAGTGGTACTTTGGAGAGTGGCTAGTCACTGGGTATGAGGGTTTAGGGGAAATTGAAATCGTCTCAAATGATACACTTAAGACTGATCTATTTTTACATTATCTCTAATTTCAATAAAGGACTCTATTTCTTGATTTGTGCACTAGTTTTCTGAGTATGTTTATTTTATGAAAACTAAGCTGCATATATAACTGGTGAATTTTTAAATATGTACTCAACTTTTAAAAAAGTCTACCTAAAATAGAAAAATAAAGTAGATGCATATATATATTCTTTTAATTCTAAAATCAGCCATGGCCATAAACCACACATAATTTGACACTGAGTAAGAAGAGGATACAGCCCCCTTTTTTATGTCACCTAAAGGATTATTTCTTAGACCTTTCTCCCCACAAACATGACAAAAATCTACCTTTGTCCTATTTTATCATTTTCCCTAAATTGCTTAATGATTCTGTAAGAATATAGGAAGGAGCATCAAAGAGGGAGGGAAAGGAAGGTTAATACATTTGGGAGAGTTAGGTATCTACTTTACTCTCTGAATACTTTTAAATCTACCTTTCTCTCCTTACTACTCAATCCCACCCTCTAGTCCCCTTAAGAGTTTCTGCTCAAATTATTCTTAGTCATTTGTTTTTTCAACTTTGATTCTGGATACAAGACAAGAGTATACACAAAATGTTGAATGTTTAATTGGGACCATCAATAGAGTTAAAGAAGCAATAAATTAAGCAAAACTTTCAGGATCATTTCCTAAACATCTTGAGCAAAATTCATGGAGGGTTTATCAAACCCATTACAAAAGCCTCCATGTATGTAACTGGATAATTATAAATTAAAGGCCTAGCACTAAAAAGAGACAAATTCAAATTGGCATCCTTTAATCTTCAGTTGGGTTTTTGAAAATATGTTTCTCTCTTAACTTTCAAAGCTAGAAATGAAAATAATGGTTCCTTCCAATGGGATGAACTGTTTTAAACCACTTAGTATTTTATACATTTGATACATGTATGTATATTTACTGTGGAACCAAATATCCACAAAAACATCTTTATATAAAGTGGATGCTTCAAAATAAACAGAGAAAATCAATTTCACTTGTTTCTCTTCCATAATTAATTATATTTAGAAACAAAAAATTCAATCATTATAACCTAGATTTTAACATTTTTACTTTAATTCTATCACCAGGATTAAAACCTTGTAAGATAAACTGAAATTATTGTGGTATAAACAGAAGTGTTTATCTTCTGATTTTATGAAAAAGTTAAAGAGAAAGTATTTTTAAACTATTGCTAAAAACATGCCTATTAAGACAATTTTACAAATTTCTCGGTATTTTAATGTTACTATTTGAAACCAATTATGCACGTTTATTCCATTAATTTTCCTACAATTTCTGTGTGATGTAGTTGTTGAAATATTCATTACCTTGGATAAAATCTAAAGAATTTTAGTCTAAGAAAAGTGGTTCTTTAGGGTCTTATGATAGTGTCTAACACCTATTTTATTAAATTTTAAATGTAAATTTTTGTCATTTCCTTTGATTACATGTCCTATTTTATTGTGGAACTAGATTCTCACCAGTTATTTAACCCACTTATGTATGCATATAAAAGGGAAATATAAGCCATGAAAAACATTTAACAACTAAAAAATCAACTATAAAATGTGTCCAACTATATAACAACACAAAGTTATACAAACGTTAGAAAGCATGTTACTGCTTGTCAAAACAACAATGAATTCTTCCACTTACTTATTCCTTAGCCATTGTTGAAATTCTAATTCATTTTTATTTTTCAGTCTTCTCTTTGAAAGAAGTTTAGTAAAAACAAAATAGGTAATCATAATCAAAGATCTCTTTCTCATTAATATCATTCAGGAATGTAAATTTCAATTCTTCTCTGCTTGAGTTATTACAACAAAAGTTGGAGAGTGAAGAGTAAACACAAGCAAGAAAAAAGAAAACCAGTTAAAGGACAAAGAACAAGAGGGGCTCAGACACAAGTGGGTTAAAAAGGAAGGAAAAAGAAGAATTCTAGATGGTACTGTTTTAATAATGGTGCCTGGGAGTGCATACTGGGAATCTAGGAAAATTTGAGCTTACCTGTTAGAAATAGGCGTTTTCTGGGAGCTGTCCAATGTACCAACTGAACCATCATAGTCACAACTTACCTCCTTAATAAGAATTGATGTACATGGTGATTCGATTCTGTCTGGAACCAATGCGTCTCCTTGCTCATCTTTTTTATTTTTATATTTTGGCTATTTCTTCTAATAGGAAAAATAAACCCTTCTTTGTTAAAATATTAGAGATACTATACAGTCAGTAAAATTTCATTTTCATTGTATTACATTTAAATTTTCTTGTTCCTCTTAACAAAATGATCTAAGGGTAACAACAAGAACAAAAACAAAACCCTCCCATAAATAGAATGAAAAGAAGTTTAGCTTTTGCTCTTATGTCCTGTAGGGCAGTACAGATCAATGAGGAAAATAAGCCAGATGGACATGTCAGGATTTTTCTTTCTTCACAAATACTGATCAGCAATTTAAAATTCGAAAGACTTCTCAACAGAGGCTGAGCTGATGGACCCATGGGTTTTCTAAAGGGCAAATCAGATGTTTGAAAGGCGATCGAAGTTGTTTTGTTTGGGGGCGGGGAGCGTTTGCTTTGCCCCCCACGCTGGGATTATACATAGAGCAAGCTCTGAGAAAATGCGCCCAGCCTCCCCTTTTCATTTCATTGCCCTCGTCACTTTTGCCCTGGAACTAAAATCCTCTACTTTACATGAGTAGAAGATAAGGGTAGGAAAAGGAGAGTCAAGTGTCTGAATTGTGAGGCTGCCTAGGAGAAAACAGACTTTAGAAGTCAGGGTTTGTAACCCGGCAGGAGAAATGGTTAGGATGCCGGAGGAGGCCAAAGCCGGTTCCAAGAGCGACTCGGGGGAATGCGCCCCAGGGCCCCCAGCCGTGCTTACTTAAGCTAATGGAAGAGCTTGCCTTTCACCAAGCGCTGCACTGGGATACCAGACAAACAGCTCCCCCTCGACCCCGGCAGACAGGGCCCCTCTTCAGGACATCATTAAAAGCACTTGTTTCATACTGGTTGGCAGCGTCGGGTGGCAGGATTCAGGACTCCGACTCAGAAGCCAAGGAGAAGCCAGGGAGGTGGAAAACATCCTCGCTTTGAAAAGCCACATCTCAATTCAAGAACTGCGTGAGACAAGGAGCCTGAAGGATATGAGTTGGCCGCAGGGCGAGGAGAGACACAAAAGGCACAGCAGGTAAGAGCTGGGGGTCGTGGCCAAGAAGGAACTGTCCCAGGTGGCGCAGCGAAATGGATCTTGGACTTGGAGGCCTGTCTCTACGCGTCTTCCGGGCCTGGTCAGGCTGTCTCCTTCCATCAGCTTCGAGAGGAGGGACGTCGCCACAGCCTTCCCAATCGGAGCGACTAACCCTGTTACCAGTTTGGTCCTAAATATTAAGGTCCCCCGTCCCTTCGTGGTTGCCGTCGCATCAGATTCAGGGCTGTTAGGCAGCCGATCCGCAGTCTCGCCTCCCCCTGCGAGAAACCGATGAGACACAGGACCGAGAGGACTCCATGGCGGCGTATCGGGAGAGCTGCGTGGACGCCACGGTGCTGGACTTCGTCGCAGACCTGTCCCTCGCCTCCCCGGGGCACCCCCTCCTCTGCGACTTGGCTCCCGGGCTCCCCTTCGGGGACCGAGGCCTGGCGCTCCCGGAGGGACGACCCAGGGGCCTGGCGCCCTTCGAGGAGGAGGATCCAGACGAAGAGGAAGGTGAAGCAGACGAGGGGGAGGAGGAGGAAGAGGAGCCCGGGAGGGGCGCCTCCCTGCTGGGCCGCCCCAAGAGGAAGCGGGTGATCACCTATGCCCAGCGCCAGGCCGCCAACATCCGCGAGAGGAAGCGCATGTTCAACCTCAACGAGGCTTTCGACCGGCTGCGGAGGAAGGTGCCCACTTTTGCCTACGAAAAGAGGCTGTCCCGGATCGAGACCCTCCGCCTGGCCATCGTCTACATCTCCTTCATGACGGAGCTCCTGGAGAGCTGCAAGGAGGAGGAAACCCGCTGAGCCGCTCGGGGGTGGGCTCGCCCGCCCCGCCTCGCCCGGGCGTGTTGGAGCGCAAGGTCTTTGGGGACGTGGCAGCGGGTGCGGCGGAAAGGCCTGAAGGGACGCTTCGAGGCCCAACGTCTGACCTTCTGAGCTCGGCTCGGGAGTGTGACCTCCCCAGAGCCCCCTCGCTCGCCGGGGAGTGCTGGGCAGGGGCGGGCGGGCGGCGCCGCTGGAACCGGGAGAGCCACGGGCCGTCGAGGCGCGCGCCCAGAAGCTCCGTCTGCGCGCCCGGCGGGTGGGATGCTCATCATCTCCGCAAACGGCAGCCTTCGGGGGCTTCTGTGGAGTCCAATCTCTCTTCCTTGGCTTTTCATAAAAAATAGAAATTAAAAATAGAATTTTTATTTTTTTAACTTAAGAGTCTCCTGGCAGGCGCTCCGCTCCGGCCTGCGCCCTTCGGGAGATCCGGGAGCGGGGGCCCAGGAGGGGTGCTGGGTAGGGGCTCCAGAGAGGCCAACGGACTCCGTCTCTGGTCGGTCAGTCACGCTCCTAAAGAGACAACAAAAAGATGCGGGAGGAAGGGGAGTGCGGAGAACACGCCACCTGGCCTCGGGGCCACGTCCCTCCCCTCTTTCTACTCGCAACCCGGTTCGGGTCGTCCAGGAGCCCGACGCTAGAACTCGGAGGCGGGTGGGGCAGCTCCTCCCCAGGCGCCCAAGGTGCTCCTGGGGGCGTCTGACTTCCCGGCCTTTGCAGCCGGCGATGCTTCCCGTCTCCTCACATGTGTGGGGAGGGGGAGGGGGACCGCGGGGTGAGGAACGGCGGGGGCGGGGACAGGGGGGAACGGGCAGGGTCTCCCCAAGCGCAGCGTCTCTGGAGCGCGCACTTTTAAAGCAGGGAAGGTAGCTTTCCTTCTAGTCTCATCCAGGAAAAGACGAGGCAAAAAGACCAAAGAGATGCATTCTTCCACTTCCCAAAACTGTGTGCAGTGGAGATGCGGTTGACTCAGGACCGTGCTGAGGGGCCGCCTCCAGTTTGGACTCTGCCATTCCCCAGTTCTTCCTTCTGGGCGACCTGCTAAGCTGAATTGGGGGGTATTCAAATAAGAGTAGGTTTAAGTGAGGAGAGGAAAAGAAGTGAATAATGCCCACCTTACTGTAAATTCAGTAACCCTAAAGGATAAATCCCCGTTTTCCAACACTTTATTTAGCTTTCTCAACCCCCCATGCGCCCTCCCCCCCCCCCACACACACACACTGTCCCTATCATACTTTTAGAAATATAATTCATATATTAAGGAGTAATATATACTCATCTTAGAAAGTTGGAAAAACAAAGGTTAGAAAAAGAAATAACATTTAAATCACTCTACGATTCCATAAAGCATTTTTACCTATATCCTTCTAGTCATTTTAAAAAATATATACAGATGTAAATTCAATACATTTAACAAATTTGAGACTTGTTTCGAGTACTGATCTTTTTCCACTCAGCATTATGGAATGAACACTTTTCCTTTGACTTTAAATATGATCCAAATGTACTTTCAATTACTGTATTTTATTGTCATATTGGTGTTTCACGACTTACCTCCAACCCTTTACAAGTGCATATTTACAAGTCCTTTACAGAGACCATTCTTATCAATCTCTGCCTATGATAATTTCCTAATATTAAATACACATGAAATTTCTGCATCAAATGAACATTCAAGTTTGTGGCTACAAATGGCCAGATTGCCTCCCAGGTAGGTTCTGCCAGTTCCCATTCCCTCCCACCAGCATCCCAGCCTCGCAGGGACAGCCTGCCTCTCAATGCCTTCATTTACAAGTTTTCCCAATTCTCCTGCCCATAGGCACAGGATTGGTTCTGAAATGGCCACCCTCCTAAAGGTGACTCCTTACTTTGTACCTTTTCACCTGGATTTTTCTACTTCTACTACAAGAACATGAGGATAAACAGGTAAAAGAAAAAAATGTAACCAGCTAAGACCAAAAAACGCTACTAGGCAGTGTTGTGCGATTTGTTATTGTTGTTGTTGTTGTTGTTGTTGTTGTTCTCCTCCAGCACCTTTGTTGAAAAAAAAAAAAAACCTGAAATTTGGACAATGACCTCTATATCAGTTTTATAAAGTAAATTACTCATTTTACTTTCTCTTCCTAGACAACATCTTAGCTACTAAGACAAGCATATTTGTATTTTTAAAAATAAAATTAAAATTACTCATTACAATAGGTTAAAGGAAAAGTAACTATTTTACATCTCATCATCAAAACTGTGCTTTCCAGCTTATAGAGTGCTAGTGGCTCCTTGGGTCCCTCATGTTTATCCAGTTATTCATTTATTCAATTAAAAATTGGGTTGATATTTTATATATAGTGTGCATGGGTTCAAAACAGAGTACAGAAGTGCCCTTTCTTCTCCCACTTAAAGTCCTGACACCTAAACATCATTTAAAAAATAATCTGTAAGTTTTAAATAAGTGAAAAAAAATGGTTCAACTCTAGGAATCATAAACATTTTGTTGAAAGAACCAATTTTGAAAACCACAATTTTTTTAAACTGCAAAGGACCTAAACATCATTGGGTTCTGAAGAGTAAGTACAACCATCAGCCTTAATCCTCTCCCTCTAGTTATGAACCATTGTTATATTCTCAACAAGCACATAATATCCTGCAGTGAACACCTCTTCAGCATACTAAAGAATGCCTGAAGAACATCCGAATAAACAGCTATTTTCCTGTTATTAATAGAAGTATGTTTACCATTCTTAAAACTGTTACAGCTTATAAATGCATTGTTCTCTGTACGTTTTTAATATGTTTGGAAGCTCCTTTAAAATATGAAGTGTCAAGGCATTTTTAAATCATTGTATTAATAGAATAATTTGAAGCTAAATAAGGATTAGAAACACAGAGAAATTGATAGATTTTTTTCCTTACACAAAATTATCCCTAGAGGTAAGACAAAATGATCTGCATTGCGACCATGAATCTATTGCACCTCATATCGCAACACTCAACTTTTCTAAGCAACGTGATCGTTTTTATTTTTCCCATGTTAGATCCACAAATTCACTGTACTTTATAATACAGTGATTTTATTATATAAAAAAAACCTATGTTAAAATTGTTTTATCCTTTATCATCTCCTAAATCAACATTGATAGGAATATCTATAGATATTGGTTTTTCTTTTTTTAATAAAATTTGTTATTTGAGAGAGAGAGAGAGAGAGAGAGAGAGAGAGAGATTTGTTGTTCCACTTATTTATGCATTCATTGGCTGATTCTCATATGTGCCCAGACCCGGGATTGAACCCACAACCTTGGAGTTTCCAGATGGTGCTCTAACCAATTAGCAACCCGGCCAGGGTGACATTGGTTTTTCAATACCTTCTAACAGTTTAAAAAAAAAATCCTAATGGTGTAAATTACTTCTGAAAAACTGTAATAATTAGTTTTAGAAATCTTAAAGTTATTTGGACACTTGGAATGTATCATTTTAGATGTTGCTTGGAGTCAATTTATTTATACACTCTTTGCTGACTGAAAACTGCTTTTTGGTCTCAAACTAAGTTCCCCATAACTATCAGGTTACTATTAGTATTCAGACATGTAAACCAAAAAAGGATCTAAATGAAATCATATTTGGAAGACATAATCAGGCTTTCCAAGGAAAGTAAAAATAATCAGAAGCCTTTGCCATCAACAGGCAGTCATTCAGCCTGATCATCGTTTACAGTTGCCCAATGTGAAAGCAGATTTTGGCAAAATGAGCACTGGAAATTGAACCAAATATTATGCTAGCATGCATGAACATACAATTAAGATCCTTGGGTTGGTGTTTATTATTGCATTTGTCAGCATTCCCATTATAAAAACACTATTGTGGAAGATTTATAACATGGCTATAAAAATTCTGAGTTGAAACTCGATAAGCCAGTTTAATATAACTTTATTTTTTGTAATTACAAATCTTTTTTAAAAAGTAACTAAGACACTTAAGTACATTTTACAAGTGAGGTTCCAAAATGTACCTGTAACTTCAAAGAACAAGAGAGTCTATTTAATACAAAATGTAAATTAGATAATTTAATTTTAATAAAAAATACCTGGCAGATTAATAATTAATGTTAAGTAAAAAATCTACTTTTTAAAGGGTGGTAGTTTATTTAAAATATATTTAAATGTCTTAGAAAAGTGTTGAAGTTTTGGTATATATCTGTATCTTTGGCCCAAGTTCATTCCAAGGTTCCTGAACTTTGCCAACATTTTGGGTGAAGTTAGGCCCAAATTCTGGTCAGTGCCCTGTCTTCCTGTGAATGCTGGACTAAAAAAGGTTACAAAACAAGAGTCAGCAGTTCTGACCATTTTGTTTTGAATTTGGGGTTTCTTTGAATCCAAAGCTCAAAACCAAACCTGGCCAAGGAGAAGAAGGAAAGGAAAGAAGCAATGCAAACTGACAGGAATAAAATACCAGAAAGATGGAAAAACTTCTTCAAGCCTCTAGAAACCAAAGCTTATAAGTTACCGCAACTTTCTCTGTGACACCAACTTTTAGTTCTGTGCTTAAAATACACTCTGTAAAGAAGTATAAGGAATAGAACAGAACAGTGTGAAAGTATTTTACAATGCTCTTTATGGCTAATATTTGGTAGAATTAAAGGACCTTTAATATTTTGTGAAATCAACAGTTTGGTGAATATTAAGGTATAGAAATTATCATAATAAAATATCTTACGGTTACTCAGTTCTTTGTTGTTTTCAAAGCACCATCCATGTACTTTCTCTCATTTGATCCTCCCAACTAGATTTCAAGAGGACCTAGGGCCTCAATTAAATTGAGTTATCAGTGTACCTTCTTAAAAATTCATTCACTCATTGAAATCAGCATGATACTGAGATTCCTAAAAAGGACCCATGGTCACATATAAGCAGCACATGACTTTGAAAGATATTGCCTTCAAAGATCAAAAGCACCTTAGCACACTCTGTGGATGATAAATTATACAAAAG